TAGTGAGTGTCTACGGTGCTGCTGCAGTGTGACAGCTGGCCACTGTAGCATTTCAAGTGTAGACAAGCCCAAGATTTAATCAGCAGCAGGAAATGTCATTTAAAAATATGTTACAGTAAAGGTGCAGTGTCTGGAAGAATTCCTTGCAGAGCTTGGTAATATTATTGCAGTGAAAAACAGTGTTTACGGAGGGATACATTATTTCTTATCTGATTGCAGTAGTGCCTAGAGCCCCGATCAGGTACTGAGTTCCCGTCATGCTAGGAACTGTACATACTTACAATGAAAACATGATCTCTGCTCCAAAGAGCATATAATCTAAGTATTACTTTAAAAAATAAAACGTAACGATTTTTCCTTTGTAGCCTATCAAACTGTAGCTCTTTTATTAAGTGTTGGAAAGTTCCGTGAAGTCTTGGCACCAGGCATATGTTAAAATAATGTTTTGTTTTCTGGACAAATAACTATATGCTTAGTGATGGAATTTCAATATAGAAATTGGCGCTTCAGCAGTTTTGTATTGGGGGATGAAGCACAGCCTGTTTGATAAATGGCCTACTACAAATTCAGATTCCCACTCATTTGTCTGGGTGATATATTTAAAGGGACCCCTTTCACTGGAAATCTAGTTGGGTTTAAAAACCATGAGCTAAAAGTCATTTCAGTGAGTACACCTGCCTCAGCTAATGTTTGTGGATTTACAACCCCGGGTTTTCATATCTTCTAAAATATTTTTCTCTCCTCTGCTGCTGTGTAATCAGTTTCCAAAGAGTTCTCAGGTATGTAAAATAAACAAACTAAAAATATGGGGAGTACTTTTTCTCTGTTACCGAAATCTTTGGTGGGGGGAGGGGTGGAAATCACAGAATATCAGCGTTGGAAGGGACCTCAGGAGGTATCTAGTCCAACCCCCTGCTCAAAGCAGGACCAATCCCCAGACAAATTCTTGCCACAGATCCCTAGATAGCCCCCTCAAGGATTGAACTCACAACCCTGGGTTTAGAAGGCCAATGCTCAAACCAGTGAGCTATTCCTCCCCCCTGTGCAAATGTAAGTAAATATATTTGTGTGAGTGCTTGCAGAGTATAGTTGGACTGACATCCCTTAATACTGATGGTGTCTCAACTCTTTACCCACAAAACCGCTACTGCGTCCCTAGTAGCCTTGCAAGCTCCCCAGCTGTGTTGCAATGCTTCTTTGAGAAACCATCTCCAGGAGAGTTCACTTTCCATATCCATAAACCTCTGTGTGCCAAAGAGGCTGCCAGTTCATGCCCATTGTGGTACTAGTGGCAGAGGGGTTGGAGTTAAGCTGTGGATTCCTGTCTACTATATTTCAGTTGGTCACAGTAGCGTCTCATCACTATTAGTCTAGGCTGGGTTTAAATGAATAACCTGGAAATGCATTTTTCTAATCTATTATCAAGCCCCTTTGCCATCCAGTACTCTTCAGTCTAGATTTTTTTAACAAATAGGGTTGAGAAAAGAACTGTCCGTGTAATCAAATATGAGTGTCATTACAAACTCTTTTGGGGTACAGGTTTGCTATAAAATCATGCTGGAGCCATTCATATCCTAAATGCCTGGATTATTTTAACTTTGCATGGACATTATACAAGTGTCAGCCCTTGAGTATCTCTAGGATCCAAAATACACTTTGCTCTCCCAGCTGACTAGCCCTGTTCCAAGAGGTGTCCTGACATGGATGCTAGTACACAAAGTAGTAAACATGAAGTCATGTTAATTTCACTGTCTGTTACAAATGCAGGAATAAATTTTCCAGCTGAAATTTGTCACTTTTTAAAGGGATGCAGCGGAGTCAAATGCTTTTTAAAAATTTCTCATGTTGCAAATGACACCTTTAAAGGATCAAAACTGAACATTTAAGTCCTCTTACTTTCTGTGCTGTTTAGTTTTTCTGTTTTACCCAGCTTGGACAGTGAAAATGCACTAGTTAGTTTCACTTCTCAAGTTTTCGGGCACCCGGCCCACTGCTGCAATGTTCAGGCAGCAAACGCTGCAGGATAATGTGTTTGTGTTTTTTTGGGGGGGGTGGTGGAAGGGAGGGAGGGAGGAAGGAAGGAAACAAAAGGGCAAAAAGTCGTATTGAAATCAAAGAGAAATTGTGGAAATCTCTCTTGCTCCTAGGTTTTTCTAAATGTTTGCTCTAACCATAACATTAATTGTATCTGAATTAAGCCAAATTAGACCTGAGTGTGCCCCTTTAAGCCCGCAAGAGCACATGGACAGTCTAGCAAAAAGGTAGTTGATAGTGTCCTTTCCAGTTACTTTACAGGTGCAGAAAATCATTTGGATTCTGTCCAGCTGTTCAGGATTAATTTCTGTCACTGAACTGGAGGTCATGTATGGGCACATTAGTAGTTCTTAACTGGTGACAAATGGGATGATGCAGTTTTAGTGACTAAATCTGTTTAAGAAGAAATTTAGTGCCATGGTCAATATTTTCTGCATCAGACATTATATAGGACTGATTTAGGAGGGGAGGAAATCTCAGGCCTTTTTTCTGGCGATTTTGGGGTTCTGGGGGCTGTGCTGCATAGCTGTTACTCATCAGTAGGATACTCAGAAAGGAAATCGCCACTTGTCACTTCTTCCGAAGCAAGATAATGTGTGACACTAAAAGCTACATGTGGTATTTTATTAAGTGAATATTTGAGCGAGAGAAAGAGTGAGATACTGGAAATGAGGGTAACAGATTTACACAATCCTTGGTGTGACTCAGGCTGGCCAGTCAATTACAACTGTGGTAATTACTAGAAGAGGGGTATGGTCCAGTTGCCATGGAAATCAGTCTTTGTTAACTTCAGGGAGAGTACCCCAGGCCCCAGCTGGATAGGTGATGAAAGGTCATTTGACTTGGTCCAAGAGTAGATGTATTTAAATGAAGGTAGCTGAAGATGAGTGACTATCAGAGTAGTGAAAAGAGAGGAGCAGAGTGGGTTTATTAACAGACCTTCCCAGTAATGGGCAGGCTAAGAGAAATAGAGGGGAAGCCACACTTAGGGATGGGAAATGAGGTTATCTATAAAACGTGTTTATATTCTACTTTTTAACCCCTTTTGCTGGCTCTTTCTCCTTGTTTCTTTCTTTGCTCCTGGTGGAGCATTTCAAAGGAAACTACTCTAGGGCTAGAGAACATGATTATAAAAATGCCAGTGGCTAGTCTTCACTGGTGGCAGGCAACGGGTGCATGAACTCAAGAGAAATGTCAAACGTAGACAAGGCCGTTGATTGATACCAAGCCTATGCTTGGAAATTGTCTAGCTCAGGGTATGTCTACGCTGCCAATGCTGTAGTGGTGCCCCTGCATCACTTCAGTGTAGACCCTACCTACGCTAGCAGTGTAGGTAATCCACCTCCCGACAGGTGGTGGAATTCTTCCATCCTCCTAGCACTTGTCTACACCAGAGGGGTGGGGGAGTTAGGTCAGTATTGCCACGTCTCTCAGGGGTGTGGATTTTTTTACACTCCTGAAAGAAGTAGCTATACTGATGTAAAATCCTAGTGTAGATAAGGCCATAGTAAACCTAGAGGCCCTTACAAGCCTCAGAACAGCCTTCTTCCTTATCCTCTTGAGACCCAAATTAGCTGGTTTTTTATTGGGTCGGACTTCGGAGAAAAAGAGGGCTCCTTACTTTTAAGGCCTTGCAGTGTCTTTATAAAGTTCCTTTATATCGTGTGCCTTTAGTTGTAGCCTGGGAACTTAAATTCATAACTTTGCTAGATACTAAAAATCATGGATTCAGTAAGGGCACAGGATTTATAGTTCATACACCAATTTGTAACCCACTAAGCTCGTTTATCCTGCAACCGTGAAAGGACTGAGCCTGGTACGCATAGGTTTTAATATGTATTCTAATTACTGATTTGTTAGGGTCTGTCCCAAATTGACTTTATCCGGGGCCCTGCCTTGCATTTTAACTGCTTTCCAAGAATGTGAGTTTGCCACATTGCCCACCAGTGGAGAGCAAGCGCTCACCTCTTGTGCCATACAAAGATGAGCAAGTATTGGGAAATCAGAGAAATTTCACAATCGGATTAGATTCTCAGCTGTTCAGAATCTGTTTTTTAAAAACCTCCTATGTGTGAAATAGACTTTGGAAACAGTATTTTCCAAATTCTTTGCTGCTGTACTGAATGAAAATTGCCAGCCCTGTAGGGTGCATCTTCATTAAGAAAAAAGGTGTGTTAACTCGTGTTAGCTAACGTGTGGTAACCAACTACAATCTTAGTTAAGACAAGGCAGTTAGTATTTTAAAATGAGTTACTAGATCTAGGTAAATCTTAGGCTCCCTCATAGTAACTCAGTCTGTTAACACTTGTGAAAGCTACAAATTGCTTTGTCTTCACTGGGATTTTACCTCATGTTAGTTACCATATTAGCTACCTCATGTTAAAAACACACCCAGTCAGGGCTGTCCCTAGGGGGGTGCAGGACCCAGGACATAGTTGCCAAGTTTCTATCTGTCGGGGGGTGATCCCCTCTGGCTCTGCCCAAGCCCCATCCCCACTCCACCCCTTCCACCAAGGCCCCACCCAGTTCCACCCCCTCCCCTGAGCACACTGCACCCTAGCTCCCCCCTCCTCCACCCCCCGTGCTGAGTCCAGATACCCCAAAACAGCTGATTGGTGTTAGAGGCTGGAACGGGGAGGTGCTGATCGGCAGGACCCGCTGGCAGGCAGGAGGTGGCTCTGGGGAGATGGGGAGATTGGTAGGGGGGCTCCTCCTCCCTCCACCTCCCCTCCTGCCTTCTCAGGAAGCGTGGGACCTCCCAAAGTGTGGGGCCTGGGGCAGTCGCCCCAGTTTGCCATACCCTAGGGACGGCTCTGCACCTAGTGAAGACAAGGCCTTAGACTTTATGGTGGCGTAGGGGACTCTACACAGCCTGACCTCCACGTGCTGGTCTCCCCATTAGAGGGGGCTAGCTGCATTTCCTCCCACGTTACAAACTGACAATAGGCATTTCTTCTCTCTCCTAGGCCATGCTGCAGAGTGAAGAGCACAGATAAAGAACCTTCCGCCACTCCTTAGAATAGTCCACCAGCCCTGACAACTTCATGCTGCAGGAGACAGCCTGATGCCCTCAGCACATCCTGCCATGGACGGAGGGAAGAACTTTCCACAGCATGAACACCAGCAGTCAGGCAGTACATTATACAGTATGCCGAACCTCCAGACGCAGCTCAGCGTACCTGCCATGGAGGTGAGAGTCCTGTCAGGTTAGGGTGGAAATGGATGGATTTGGGAGCTTTTGCCAGAGGGGGGCGGTCACAGCAATGTTGAAATCTTGGGGGAAAAGTAAACGTTTACAGTTGCTATTTGGTAAATTGGCTTTCCAGGCTGTCGTCTAGTGGTACGAGGTATTTATTTTTAGCGCTAGACCTTTGAGGCAGCAGCTGCCACAATCCACGTTGACTTTGAAGTTGGGGGGGGAAAGCAAGATGGTGACTGAAATGATGTAATTTTAAAGTCCATTATATTGCAACCTGCTAGGGCAAGAGATGAAGAATCAAAGCTGGATTGCCACCTTTCCCTTTGTTTCTACCCTTGCTGGCTGTCAAAGTACTGGACCTTAAAAGTGTCACTTGTAGCTGTGTCTCTTTTGACACTGGTACACGACTGCGTAGTATTTTATTAGGACTTAGTCTCCAAGCAGGATTGGGTTCTGGAGAAGATTGCAGACTCCCCGGTGCGGTGCTTCCTACTGGTCAGTCCGGGAATTAGCTTTTTTCCAGCCCTCACAGCGCCCCGTGTTGGCCGGTGTCTCTCCCGGACCCCATGCCCTTTACCTTGGGGTTCTGCCCCCAGCAGTACCCCCACACTCTGGGTCTCCCCTCCCAGGGAAACCCCCTTCCCCTATGCCCACCTTGCATCAGTGGCTACTGCCACGTGTCATCTACCCCCTTTCTCTAGGGCAGATTATAATGGCCACTCGTCACTGGCAAGGGGGTTGGACCTGCTGCCTTTGCCTATCCCGGGGCTGCCCCTCTGCAGCCCAAGTACCTGCTTAGGCCTTTAACAAGGCCTCGGCCTGGGGAGTTGCCAGGCTGGAGCTCCTCTTGCCCTTCCCAGCACTGCTCTGCTTCAGGTACCCTGTGCTTCCAGGCAGCTAGGTCCTTTCCACTGCAAGGCCGGAGTGAGCCTCTGAACCAGTTCCTCCCTCGCAGCCCCCTTATTAGGGCCATCTGGGCCCTGACTGAGCTGGCCACACCTGTGGTCAGCTACTCAGTCAGCTTCCCTCAGCTGTTCTCACTCCTCTTATCTCAGGAGGCGGGGCTGCTACGGGTCCCCATTGTGACCTGCTGTCCAAACACATAGCTTTCCAATCTAAATAGAGTGTCCCTTGGGTGCCAGTACTTTTCTGTCTCTGATCATAACTAATCGCTGCTGCTTTCCTGAAGTTTGTGCCCCTCTTAGGCTGGCTACAGGGAGGCATTCAGCACCTGTTGCATAGCTGGGGCAGTTGAGCATAAACAATTTTGAGGTCAACTTTAAATTGATGTGAACTCTTAATGTTTTCAGAGAGCACCTGCCCCCAGGAAATCAGACACTCTATAGATGACTCAAGTCAGGCCCCCAAAATGAGGCACTTCAAATTACTAGTTTCAGAGTAGCAGCCGTGTTAGTCTGTATCCGCAAAAAGAACAGGAGTACTTGTGGCACCTTAGAGACTAACACATTTATTAGAGCATAAGCTTTCGTGGACTACAGCCCACTTCTTCGGATGCATCCGAAGAAGTGGGCTGTAGTCCACGAAAGCGTATGCTCCAATAAATTTGTTAGTCTCTAAGGTGCCACAAGTACTCCTGTTCTTCTTTTTGAGTATTCAAGATGTGGGGGATACCATGGACTTATATAGTGGCATAATGATATATTCTGTCTTCTTATCTATCCCTTTCCTAACTATTTCTAACGTTTTAGGAATCTGTTAAGAACTTTCTGTTGTCCTTTCCAGAGCTGTTTCAAGACCTAAATCTTGAGCAGCCAGTAGTGGTGCTATTTCAGCACTGGCTGTGTTGGATGTTATGGGAGCCCTGTACCCCAGTGTGTCAGATATTTGAAGCTGCTACTCACCTGGCTGCCTGTGGTAGGCAAGCTCCTGTTGTGTGGGGTTTAGGATTATATCCCACATCTGAATCTGCCCAGGTGCAGGTCTGCCAACACAGAACCCCATTGAAGTCAAAGGGGATCTACCCACTTAGGCGCATGGGTTGTGCCTAGATGGATCCAGTTGCAGGATCTAGCCACTAGACTCTAGATAGTTAACTATTTACTAGATAAGGGGCTTCAAGACATAGTGCAAAAAACACTTGAGCTCAGTCTACAGGAGTACTTAAAACTGTTGCTAGTACCAGTGCTGAAAAATGGTATGACATTTTATAATGTAGCTGCATTCTTCCACAATGATCTCTGTTATAGATGCCATTTTATTTCTTGGCACCAAGATTCTAATATTGTATTGGAGAGTAGGACTGGAGCACCGATCCTGCAAACACTTAGGTTATATCTACGTTACAGAGCTTATGCTGACCTAGCCCCCTCATGTAGAAGTGGCCTACATCAATAGAAGTTTTTCTGTCGGTGTAGGAGTACCACCTCTCTGGACAACATTAGCTATCGTGACAGAAGCCCTCTTTTACAGTGTGTGTATGTGTCTGGGGGGTGTGGAGAGGGAAAGAGTGGGAATGAGTTTGTCAGCATGTCTATGATGGTCAGGGATGTGGAGGGGGTTTTCACACCCTGACTGACATAGTTATGTTGATATCACTTTTACATGTAGACCAAGCATTAATTATATACTTAAATTTATACATCTGAGTAATCCCATTAAACCAGCTGGAATTATTTACATGCATAAGTGTCTGAAGGATCATGGCGTTACTTGTATTTGAATTCCTGAGAAAGCAGGAACTGTAACTATTGTTGGAAGAAACATCTGACTATTTTTGTTAAATTTAATACTAGTAAATCACTTTCAAGTTATCCAATTTAAAATAACAAAAGCTGTTGAAAGCTCAGATATGTTTTAAAATTGATTACTTTTAAAGTGCTTTGTCTGCAGCGATGTAAAAGTGTAGAACTTGCCTTTCAGTAACTTACAGGCCATTTCTTTCCTACGTATTCATTGTAAGCTATAGATTGTCACTATGGTTGCTTCTTAGTTAATTATTTTTTTTAATTACCTTTAAGACACGCTTGTTTACCAACTTTCTTCTTTCTTATAGATGTAATGATTGGAATATCTCTTATATTGTGATGAAGTTTTCCTTTACCTCTCTATTTTTTTTGCCATAGATGCTGCTGATTGTGGTCATTTTCAACTTTCCAGTACCAGACTGGATTTAAGGGGAAGGGGCAATCTCTTAGGCATGAAATAATCATGGATTCTTGCATTTTTAGAGTGAATCCATCATTATTGCTTCTCTCCCCTCCCACTTTTCTACAGAGCCTTAACTTGTCTTTAGCAGTGTTTTTGTCTTTAACGATGCCTATTCTGTTAAATCAGCTTTACAGAAAACTTTTTCCAGCCAGTACCAGAAACAGTAAGGTAGGGGGACTTGCTCCTTCCTATTCTGTTCACTTCAGTAAGATGTGAACTTCAACACCCAGTTGACACTAAAAAAAGCCTTTTTCTCAGTCCACACTTAACAGTTACAAGCCACGCAAAGCTGTGCATACCTTAAAGTTTTTAACTATGATTTAACCAGTGAGAGGAATGGTAACCGTAGCTAGTTGCAAGTAACACCCTTCCGTTTGTGTTCATACAGCAGCTTTTCTGCCATCATAGTTATTTGGGCATCCATATCTTCCACTTTGCCTTACTATGGTTTTCCATGTATTCTAGGAAAACCTGGGCAGATATCTCATAGCTGGAGGACATAGACACAGAATGGCAAGAACAGCAGTACATGGCGCAGTGCACTCTGGTTGTGCTAATGTATGGAGAGGAAGACTAGCTAAATAGTTACCCTGGACCTGCAGTTTTCAGGTTATAAAAATGAGATACTGACAGTGATTGAGATATCAAAAGAAAAAGTGCTGGAACAAATTGATGAATAGCAGCAAGTCACTAGGATTAGAGGATATACATTCAAGAGTTCTGAAAAAACTTAATGAACTGCCAAGAAAAATCTGCCATTTCTCATTAAAATTAGCTGTTATACCAGAGAGCTAGAAGGCAACACATCTTTAGAAAAGTTGCTAGGGGTGATCCAAAGAATTACAAAATAATAAACCTTATTTTGATAATAGCGAAATTGATAGGAATTCTATTTTAAAATAGAATGAAAACATATAGATAAATATGATATGTGGACTAACTAGCACACCTTCTGCAAAGGAAAGTCATACTCTAGTCCAGGGGGTCGGCAACCTTTCAGAAGTGATGTACCGAGTCTTCATTTAGTCGCTCTAATTTAAGGTTTCGCCTGCCAGTAATACATTTTAATGTTTTTAAAAGGTCTCTTTCTATAAGTCTGTAATATATAACTAAACTATTATTGTAAAGTAAATAAGGTTTTTAAAATGTTTGGAAACTTCATTTAAAATTAAATTAAAATGCAGAGCCCCCCGGATCGGTGTCCAGGACCTGGGCAGTGTGAGTGTCACTGAAAATCAGCTCGCGTGCCGCTTTTGGCACGTGTGCCATAGGTTGCCTACCCCTGCTCTAGTCTGTTAGACTTTTTAGACATGTTGATATTGTGAATAAAGGAGAATGGTTTGGATTTTCAAAATGACTTTGACAAAGTCCCTTGGAAAAGGCTGTTAAAAAAGCTAAATAGTCATGGGGTGAGAGACAAAGTACAGTAATGGATTAGAAGCTGGCTGTGGAACTAAAAAGTAGGAATGACTCACTCAGTTTTCACCATGGCAGAAGATTAATGGGTCTCAAGGAAATATTTTTTACACTAATTTAGTTGTGGAAGTCACTGCAACAAGATACTATAAAAGTCAAGAGTTTAGCAGGATTCCAAAAAGAATTAGATGCTTATATGGATAATGAGAACATCCACAGTTACATTCAGTAGGAAATAAAGTAACAAGATGTAAACCTTCAGGCTTTAGGGCATAAGCTAGCCTCTGACAATGGTTAGTAAGAAACTTCTCTATAGGCAGACTCTTCCGAAAGTGTATACTACAGGGTTTCTTGCATCTTTTTCTGAAGCAAGTGGCATTGACCACTAGTCTGGTGGCAATTTCTTT